CGCTCTTCCACTGAGCCAAACCGGTTGTATGAGTTCTTTATATTTCTCAATATTAACTCATTATCATAGGTAGTATATGACTTGCAGTTATTTTCTCTCATTCAAGTTGCCTTTTCATTTTGTTGATGGTTCCCTTTGCTGTGTGGAGCTTTTTCGTTTATGTCCCACTTGTCCATTTTTGCTCTTGTTGCCTTTGCTTTTGGTGTCAGACCCAAAAAAATTATTACAAATACCCACAAGTTCCTTATCACATATAATTTGCAAATGTTTTCCTCAGTATATGGCTTATCTTTTTGTTTTTCTTAGTAGGGTCTCTTTTTTTTATAATAGTTTTATTGAGATGTAATTTATATAACATACAATTCACCCTGTTTCAGTGTTAATATATTCACAAAGTTGTACAACTATCATGACAACCAATTTTAGAACAATTTATCACACACACCCCCCCCAAAGCATCCCATACACCTTAGCACTCTATTCCTCATTCCTTCCAAACCCCCAGCCCCAGACAAACACTAGTCTATTTTTTATCTCTGTGGGTCTGCCTGTTCTGGACATTTTATATCAATGGAATCAAACAGTGGGTGGTCTTTTGTAACTGGCTTCTTTTACTTTGCATATTTTCAAGGTTTCTCCATTTTGTAGCATGTATCAGTACTTTGTTTCCCTTTATTGTCAAATCATTTCATTCAAATTATTCATCATTTGATGGATATTTTGATTGTTTCCACCTAGGGGTATTATGTATAATGCTGCTATGAACACCTGTGTACAAATTTTTGCGCAGATATATATATAGAAATGGAATTTCTGGGTTATGTGGTACCTAATGTTTAACCTTTTGAGGAATTGTCAGGCTGTTTTCTAAAGCAGCGGCATTATTTTAGATTCCTACCAGCAGCTCATGAGGGTTTCAGTTTTCCGCATCCTCGTCAACACTTGTTATTGTCTGTCCTTTTTATTATAGCCGTGCTGGGGTGTGACTTGCTATCTTCTTGTAGTTTTGATTTCCATTTCCCTAGTAGCTAATGATGTTGAGCATCTGTTCATGTGCTTATTGGACATTTGTATATCTCATTTGTAGGAGAATGTCCATTCAGATCCTTTGCCCACTTTTAAATTAGGTTACTTGTCCTTTTATTATTGAGTGTAAGAGCTCTTTACATATTCTAGATACAAATCACTAATCAGATATATGATTTGCAAAATGTTTTTATTCTGAGTTGTCATTTCACTTTCTTAAAGGTGTCTTTTGAAGAAAAGTTTTTAATTTTGATGAAGTTTATCTATTTTTTCTTTCGTAGCAATGCTTCTTGTCATATCTAAAAAGTCATTGCCTAATCTTTTCCTCTAAGAGTTTTATAGTTTTAGTTCTTGTATTTAGTCTGACCCATTTGTGGAGTTTTTATATATAATATGAGTTAAGGGCCTAAGTTCATATTTATTTGTATCATGGAAAAATCTCAAAAAGTGTGCTAAGTGATAAAAGCCAATTTGCACAATGATATGTGCAGCATGATGCCATTTATACAAAATTTAAAAGCATGAACTGTCATATATTATTCATAGTTACACATACTAGTATACACATAGGTAAAACACTTCACACCAGAATCTTTGATAATGGTTGCCTATGAAGGAATAAGATGAGGGGACTGGGATTGGAAAGAACTGGTGATGAAAGGAGTCTTCAGATTTGTCGGCAGTATTTTTAAGCTGAAATAATTTTGATACCATATCAACAGTTATTAATTTGGGCAGTATATTATGTTATACTTTTTAGCTTCCTCTTTTTTTTACATTTCTCTAAACACACACACGCACGCACGCACACGGATCAAAGTAGGACGATGGAGAACAAGCTGTTCTGTTTAGCCCAGCGCCCTCACTGGCGGCAGCACTGAGGTGAGGCTTTGTGCAGACAGCCCGTCAGCCTGTTCAGGCAGTTTCGGGGTGTGGGGGGGAGTGGAGGGCAGGGGGAGCAGGTTAAGCTAGATCTCAAAAAAATAATTATTTTCATTTGAACTCATTAAGACACTTGGCGTATGTTTTTCCAGTTTTGCTTCCGCAGAAAACCCTAGTCTACCTGCCACATTCAGTTTCCCTTGCTCTGAAGGGCAGCAGAGCCCAAACCTCAGTGAGCTCCCTTCAGAGCAGCGGTTCTCAACCTGTGGGTCGCGACCCCTTTGGGGGTCGGACGACCCTTTCACAGGGGTCGCCTAAGACCATCGGAAAACACATATATAATTACATATTGTTTTTGTGATTCATCACTATACTTTATCTTCAATTTGTAACAATGAAAATACATCCTGCATATCAGATATTTACATTACGATTCATAATAGTAGCAAAATGACAGTTATGAAGTAGCAACGAAAATAATTTTATGGTTGGGGGTCACCACAACATGAGGAACTGTATTAAAGGGTCGCGGCATTAGGAAGGTTGAGAACCACTGTATAACTTCCCAGCTGTGACCCGAACCCCTCTCAGACCCTCCACAGCTGCTCTCCTCAGCCTGCGCACCTGGAAGGCCTGCGTGCCTCTGTGCTAGCCCCGCTCTCCCTCGCTCTCTCCCCCATTCTTCCCGTGTTTTCTCTCCCTCTTCTCTCCTCCTCTCCCTCTCTTTTTTTCCTTTTCTTCCTCTCTCCAGTCCTGGAGGCAGCCTGACTCCCTCCTTGCTGATGTGGCCGTGCCCTGCCTTGCCCCACGGAACCGAAGCCCTGCCGGCCGGCTCAGGTTGCTGAGGGAGAAGGGCGTCTCCCTTCTTCAAAGAGGTAAGATACCTGAGATAACATTTCATCTCTCTGATTCTCCCAGGCCCAGGCCACAGGATCGCCACACACATCGCCCACTCACGGAGGCAGCCGCCCAATGCCCATGCCCGTCCGCTCAACATCTGCTGGCTCCACGCCCACCCACTGTCCGCAGGAGCCCCTGAGCGGAGGCGGGGGCGACATGCAGGAGGCCTTTGCACAAGGTCAGTTCCAGGAGCAGAGCATGGCCGGGAGTTGAGCGGGCTTGGGAACAGATTTTTACTGAGATTCTTTAGTATCACTTCTTCTGTGTGCTTAGGTCTAAGTGACCAGGTTTTTACATGCAGCATAAATAAGTCAAGTAGATGGGCTGGTCTCCAGGGAGGTCTGCAGGCTGTGTGCGTGTGCAAAGAGCAGCTCCCTGGGTTTCCGTGCTCTTTTTCAGGGTTGTGAGAAGTGCCCTACCCTCTGGACTTTGCTTCTTCCAGAGCAATTGGCTGGAATCGTTCCCAGAGTCACGCGCTTGCCCTGGAAAGTCTTTGGGGGAAGCAAGAGAAGGAAGGGCGGACTCTGCACGGGACCTTGCTGAGGGCATTCCGTGTCAGAGTGTCAGCCGTCTGAGGAGCTGGCAGCCAGCGTGCTCCACAGTTGGGGGAAGATGAGCGGCCAAGGGGTCCTGCTGGGGCGGAGACAGACACAGGGAGGTGGGAGCACAGGAGAGCAAGGCCCCGCCGAGGACCGAGGAGCACCTTGGAATGATGTTCGTTCTGGAACCCGACTCTTTTGTGGCAGCCGAGAAGCTTGGAGCTGGCAGGGCCCTGCTCTTTAGGTGGAGGAGGACAGGGAGGAGGAGGTGGACTTGGGTACCTCGCGCGGCCGCGGCCCAGGTCCCCTTAGGCGCGCTGCCCTGTCCCAGGGCCTGGCAGGCCGAGTCATGGGCTCTGCTCTCTCGTATCCACACCCACCCACCTGGCATCGCCATCTGCTCTGACTCCCCTCAGGTACGAGGAGAAACCTCCGCAATGACCTGCTGGTGGCGGCTGACTCCATCACCAACACCATGTCATCCCTGGTGAAGGAGCTCCACGCAGGTGAAGCCCAGAGCTCCCACCCGGCCCACGCCTCCTCCCGCACGCGCTCCTCACTCCTCGCCGCGTGTAAACCGTCACCACAGGACACAGACCCCTCCTCTCACCACCCCGTCCTCTGCCTGCTAGGAGCACACTGGACGCCCCCACCCTGAGTCTCTCTCCCACGCGAGGTCACATGGAGACAGTTGCACACTGAGGTTTCTCTGACGAGTACACCGCGTGGGCACACACAATGCAGGATTTAAAGGCATCTAGGCCTCTGAGTCCAGGGAGGCGCCTCCTCCCTGAGTGTGTCTGCCCAGGGCCCCCTCCCCGCCCAGCTCTCTCCTAGGCCCTGACCCCGGCTCTTTCTGCAGCTTTCCTGGAGGGCTGGCGCCGGACCAGCCACACAGCTTCTGGACTCTCTCCCAGCTGCCTTTCTGCTTCCCCTCTCTGATTTGGTTTTGAAACCCTATTCTCTCCTTTTGTCCATGACTAGGCTCTGATTCCACTCGAAGTTCATGACCTGAGTCTGTTGCCTCCTCCCCTCCTCAAGTTCAGTGTCCACTGTGACTTCTCTCTGTCTCTCTGGCACTTGGCTATTTCATTGATTTTTCCAAAGACCCTTTCTCTTGGCGTTTTTTCCCTTACATGAAACCCAGGAAAGAGAGGAAAATAGAAGGCCGTTCCCATACCATCACATCTTTAAGAATCCCGTGACACCATCAGCTCTGTAGCGGCCAGAGATTTGCTAATTTCTTTGCAGTGGTCAGTCCCCCTGCTGTGTACTAACCAAGTGGTTCCCTCCCTAAGGGCTATAGGTCACTCGTTTACTAGCATGTGGCTCTTTTGTTTCTTTTGACCTAATGTAATGCTTTTAAATGCCTTGAAGTAGCTTAGGTTATTCATTAAAAATATAAAGCCGTTTCTCCATGGACTAGTCAAACACATACACTCACTCAGACACAGACATCGAAACCACCCGTCCATGCTCTTCAGGAAGCCCAGCCTTCTGGTTCCACACCTTTAGTGTCAGGGTCCAGCCAGGGTCCGGCCATGGCTTCGCCCCCGAACCTGCCTGTTGTCTTTTAGGGGAGAATCAATGTGTGGCCGGGGTTGGTTTTTCCAGAGCAGTTAAGATCCAGTCCTCCTGTGCAGGGAGCGTTATGGGGACACTGTCCGATTCTGGTGCTACTTCTCAGCCCCTGTCAAAAGCACCCCCTCCATGCACACGAAGGCAGAAGCAGTGACTGCATCGAGGTGACCTCACAAGTGATTAGAAAGTGCCTCCTATTGGAGCTCCCCTCAGGTTTCAGAAACCCCACTTTTAAAGGGAATTTCTTAAGGGATTTCAGGCCCAAGAAATTAGCTACACGTGTGCCTCTTGGCAACTTACTAGGGTTTATGCAGAATAAGTGGCCCATGAGCTCATCACACTGGATGGGAGGTAACTGGACATCGTTAAACACAAAGCACATGCAGGCCAAGCAGCTTCACAGAAACAGAAGTTAGGACAGCGGTCGCCAGCCGATGGTCCATGTTCCACTGGTGGTCTGTGAGGTCCGAAAGGTTGGCGACCGCTGGCTTAGGAGATGCATGGTGACCTCTCACAGCAGGAAAGGGTGGTGGCCACGGAATTGTGCCATGTTTCTGGAAGGTGCCTTAGAGATCACGTTGTCCAGACCCCGTACTTTATAAATGCAGTGAGTAGTTATCAGGAAAGTAATCTGCCTAACGCTGTGCAGCTTGAAGGGGCAGAGCTGGTCCTAGAACTTAGGGCAGTGGTTCTCCACCTTGGCTGCACATTAGAATCACCTGGGAATCTTTTTAAAATCCTTATTTCTGGGCCTCGTTCTCCGGCAATTCTGTTTCTTTGTTACTAATGTTGTGGCCCCACCCCATAACAAAGAAACAGAATTTCCGGAGGACGAGGCCCAGAAATCAGTATTTTAAAAAGATTCCCAGGTGATTCTAAGGTGCAGCCAAGCTTGAGAACCACTGACTTAGGGCTTCAGGACCCACGTCGGTGCTCTTCCCACTGCCCTCTCCCACACAGGACAGGACATTAGCCCGCAGCCGCACGAGGGCCCCTTCACCACTGCGCTGCTCGCTCCAACACTGACGTCCATAAGTAGATGCGGACCGAGCCCACACATGGCTCAGTGTCTCCATAAAATGCGGGAATAGACGTTTTTACATGCAAGGCGGCCAGTGTCCCAGTGAATGGAAGGGCCGTCCCCCACACCCGCCCATTCTCGCTGCCACCGTGGAGCTGGTGTCAGGATGAGATCAGATGTTCAGGTTAGCTTTACAACTATTCTATACAGGGCGGACCCCTAGCTTGCCCTCCTTATCTTTTTTGAAATATTTTCACAAAGAATGGAATCTTCAAGTTGGCCGGGATCTTAGAAGTCATTTGCTCCAGTTTGCCTCCTGATATAAAAGTCCTCTGTCTGAATCTTTCCAGTGAGCTCATCATTGGGAAGTTCTTCCTTATCAGGGAGCCACAATCCGCCTTTCTGTAACCCATTTATCCTCACTCAACCCTCGAAAGCTACCCAGAGTCCGTTCAGTTCCTCCTCTTTCTGTTGCCTTTCAAGTACCTGGCAGCAGACAGCAAGGCTCTCCCTCAGCCTTATTCCTCTTTAGGCAGCTATCTGGGGGTTCCTTCAGCCATCCCTAAGGCGGCGTGGTTTCCACTCTACCCTCCTGCTTGCCCACACTGCGCTGTGGCCGAGTGCTTCAAGGCCCAGTTCAAAGTGAGTGAGTTCCCAGGGCTGAGCACACTTCTCCGGATCCCCGGTCGGTGGGGGGGGGTCTTCTCCCTGCAGAGCACAGTGAACTGTGACCTCCCCGAGCAGACCCCCGCAAAAGCAACCTGAGATGCCACTCATTTTTTTCTCGCAGCCAATTGCACTGCTCAGTCATTTTAAGATTGTTGTCAGCTAAAACCTCTAGTTGTTTGTTTGTTTGTTGTTTGTTTTAACGGAAGCCAGTGTAGATCTAGGTATCCCCACTATGCACTTTCACGGTTGCTTTCTTTAACCTGAATGCACAATATTAGCTATATCCCGAGAGGATGTCACCACCGTAGGGAAAACGGGCACAGAGAAGAGGTGGCCACCCCACCTTGGTCACCAGGAAGCCAGCAGCCGTGCAGGGGACATCGGATGGCTCTGCTTGCTTCTAAGGGCTCTGAGTAGGTCCTGTGAAGCATGGTGGGGGACTGGACCCCACAGGGTGCAGACGAGGTGAGGCTTGGAGGCTGCAGCCATGAGCCGGTAGCTAGGTGTCATCCCAAGCCTCCTGTGTGACTCCCTTCACCCCCTCTATGCTTGTCCTGTGCTCAAGGGTCACGGGCCTCCTTGTTTTCCCAGCAGAGGAAGGTGCAGAGGAAGAAGAGAAGATGCAGAGTGGGAAAGACAGAGGTAAAGGCAGCTCAGGACCCCGAGTGCGAATGGGAGCAGAGCTATGTAGCCCCTGAACAGACACCCGCTCCCTCTTGTTTCTGCTTTTCCTCCTGCTGCCACCTTCCCCCAAAGCTTTCGGCCCCTCAGCTCCTCCTGCCTACTTGTCCCCACTGGTCGCCAAGTGTTTCCCCGGAGGCAGTAGTGTCCGTGGGTCAGCACAGCCTCCTGATTTCTGATACAATGGTAGGTGGTTGGGATACAGGAAATTAGATAAACAGCAAAACAAAACGTGCCCCCTCGCCTCAAGGAGTTTATGATACAGTTAGGAAAGCAAAGATGCAAAATAAACAGGAGACAACATGAAGTAGCAGGAAAAGTTAATCATCAAACCTTGAGTGTATGATTATACGTACAGGGAAGGTTTCTGAAAAGGAAGAGATGATTGTGGGCAGAAAAGCAATAAAGAGGTACAGCAGAGGTCAGTGTAGATGTACCTCAGAGATATTGCAGGATCAGTTCCAGGCCAGCGCAATAAAGCAAGTATCGCCATAAAGCCAGTCATCATCTTATTGCAGGTAGAGGTTCTCGCCTTCAGTTTGTAAAAAACGCAGCATCTGTGATGCACAGTAAAGGGAAGTGCAATAAAATGAGGTGTGCCTGGAATGTAAAACCTACTTAATACTATGTGTGAAAAGCTGTGCCAAGTGATTGCCACACATAATCTCATTTAATCCTTAACAACCCTGTGAGATAGAGAATAACAGTCCCATTTTACTGGTTAGAAAATAGGCTCAGAGAAACTTAGATCATGTAGCAATTAAGTGGCAGATACTGGGTTTGAACTGGGTCCTTCTGACTCCCAACTCCATGTTCTTAATTTTCATGCTTCTGTATTTCACCAAACAGACAACAAAATTCTCTTTGGACATTTAAGAGCTGTTATTTTTTTAAAAATATATTTTTATTGATTTCAGAGAGGAAGAGAGAGAAATAGAAACATCAGTGATGAGAATCATTGATCGGCTGCCTCCTGCACACCCCTACTGGGGATCGACGCCACAACCCAGGCACGTGCCCTTGACGGGAATCAAACCCAGGAGCCTCCAGTCCACAGACCAACACTCTATCCACTGAGCCAAACCAGCTAGGGCAAGAGTTAGCTGTTATTTGTTATACATCAATATGTCCGTTGCTGGATTCCTCCAAAACGTGAGCTCCACAAGGCAGAGCCCTTGGTCTGTTTTGCGCGCGTTGTACCCCCAGTGCCTAGAACGGTGCCTCGCGTGCAGTGGGATGTCAGTAAATGAAGAAGTGGAAGGAAATAAACAGGGTGATGTGCCACGAGCCCTTAGTCAGGGAGAGAGGCGGCGAAGGCCTGGGAGGTCCCTGTTGGCTGCCGGACACAGTCCTCCTGTTGGTGCCACTGCCCCGGGAGGGACGGGTTCTAGACAAGGCTCAGAGCCGCTGAAGGACTGCACAGGGAGTACATGGCAGAGCCTGGATTCCACCCCGGCTTCTCTACCTCCAACACCCAGGCTTTAGTCTGAACAGACGACTAGACTAAGTGACGGGAAGGAAGGGAGGGAAGAAGGTCGATACAGGCCAGGAAGCTGTGATGGGAGAGGGAAAGCCTGGTGCGAGGGGGTCTGCAGTGGTGTTTGCCCATAGGGCTCGTGTGGATAAGAGGGGAGGCTTTGGAGTGTGTCAGCCAGGACACTGGCATTGCCAAGGAAGAAATGGGGGGGGGGGCAGAGGACACCTCCGTCAGGTGCTGAAACCATCTAGTGACCAGAGCCAGGCCTGGGAGGAGGTGGACATGCCCTGGGATGATGGGCGTGTGAGGATGGCAGGTCTGGCGTGGATGTTGAAGGCCAGAAGCTGGGGGCAGTGGTGTTTGAAACATCCAGAAATGCTACAGAGGAATGTAGGGAAGACTGGCGTCCCTGAGGAAGAAGGCAGGAGGCTTGCAGTACAAGAGGTGGAAAGCAGACACACAAAGATCAGTTTACACTTATGTAAACACATGCGCCACACACAAGCACGCACGCATGCACACAGTCCAGCCAGATGCTGGCATTCATGTGGAGTGCTCTTGGCTGAAGACCTAACAGCTGCTGCTCTGGCCTCTCTTGCCGTAGACCCTCCCTCCTCCAATAGCTTTCCCATGGCCTCTCCTCAGCTCCCTCCGATCCCCGAAGCCAGAGGGCTCTGCCCTGACCACTGGGGCTCGCCCGGACCATGGGTTTTAGCCGGCAGTCCTGGTTCAAGGCTGGATGTAGGCTGCACCTCTCATTGGACTGGGCACGGTCCCCTGGCCTGGTGTCTCCCGGCCTCAGGGTCTCCGCCTTTACGCCTGAGTGGCCCTATCACAGCCCTGCTTCCTGTCCCTCCCGCTCCCAGTGTCTGCTCCCGTGTCTGTCAGTGCCTCTACCAGAGTCAGTGCCTCTACTATGTCGTCGTGAAATCTTTCTGTGAGAGCACCTACCTTTCTATTGCTGTGGCTTTTAGGTGTCATCCCCAAGGGAAGAGTGTTAGGAGTTGGGGTTTGAGATGGATAGAGTTTCAGAAAAATGTTTGACTTTCAACATTGTAAGCATGCATGTCAAACTGGCAGCCCCGTGGCCTTGAGTTTGACATGCTTGTAAGGTCCTCGGATATGTCCCTGTGGCTACAATGTAGCTGTTACGTGGGTGTGGTTCTAAAACCAAGTGTTTTTATGGAGAGACCTTCTGAGTCTCTGCCATGATCTGGGCGTGAGTTTTTGCTGTAGGCTTTGCAGTAGCTACTGCCACCGAGGCATTGGAGAGCAGTAACTGTCAACCATAGAGAGATTTTCCTCTTTGGGGTTGAGGTTGTGCTGACAAAATATAAACACAACTTGTCAGGCAAACATCGTCTCTCAATGCAAACACCTTGAGAGCCAAGTGGACACTTTTGAAGAATTCACACCTGAGCTGGACTTCCCACCCACGTTCCCCCCTCAGGCCTCTCCCTGCCCTGCCCTGGCTCTCTGTCCGCTGCATCCCGAGGAATGCTTCTGCTCTGTTGGGGTACCCTTCCTGCTTTGCCTCCCCTCACCCCTCACCTTGAGTGGTGATCACTTTTAACCAAGACCACATAGATGGCACAGACGAGCAGAACTCCCCCATGTGACTTCAGAGCCTGAATCTGTCGCAGCTACTCCAGGGTCTCATTTATGCTCCTGAGTTCTTCAGAATCCCTCCCCCAGGACCTGCCTGGCCTGGTGTTGAGAGCTGGGAGCGCGGTTTGCACACGTAAAGGGCACTGCGGGTCTGGAGACCGGCGGCGGCCCCCGTGAGGAAGACAGTGAGGGTCCAGGCAGTGGCCGCAAATCCAGGGCGGGCGAGAGGATGGCCTCGCATCCCCAAGCGGATACGCCTGCAGGACGGAAATGCTGCCCCACTGAGTGTAACTCCCTCTCACCAAGTTCACGCTCAGGACTGCGGGGGCTGTACCCCCTGAAGTAACCACTCCCTGGATTTCGGGTGGCTTCCGTTCCACTCTAGTATCAGTACGTCCTCCTGGGAGGCGCTGGTCTCCACGGCTTTTAGGGGGTTGCAGCTGCTGGCTGTAGATGGTGTGGAGCTCCTCTGTTTTCACACCTGCTGGGGGAAGTCGGTCTACGAGGAAAAAAGGGAGAGGCGAGTCCAGAAGCCCATGGGTGTGGAGGGTCAGGGGGCCCCTGGGGAAAGGTCCAGGGAGTGAGAAGGCCCTGGTGGTGACCTCAGTGTGTTGTTTGTGTCCGTGCTGCACAGGTTAACGGAGGAGCCGGGGACCGAGAGGAAGCGGTGAGTACAGAGCCTGTTCTGCTCTCCCCACAGCCCTTCCTTCCCTTCAAGGTCATGGTCTGCCTTTCCCCCCTCCCTTTCTTCAGCCACACCTCCCAGGCCAGGCCCACCCAACAGGTATAGACCCAAGGCAGGGTTTTCTTTACAGAGCCCGGCTGTGCCTCTTCCCCTTGCCAAGCCCCACCAGCCTAGCCATTTGGCCCGGGGCCCATTGTGCTGGGCCTGGGTCTGGGCTCAGACAGGGCTCGGCGACACCTGTGTCAGGATGCGGTTGGCTGAGCAGGCTCTGTCCTCAGAGGTCGGCTGAGAGCCGCCCGCGTCCTGGGGTTGCCTCTGCCTCCTTGCTCCTGTTTCCCCATGGCCACTGTCATTCTTCCCTGGGGACCCAAACCACAGCCCCTGTGTCCCGGAGACCCCATCCAGAGCTGTAACCTGCCGCAGGTCCTCACCCCCGACACCTGTTTCATCTTCAGGATCACACTGCCTCCGTTAGCCGATCGATCGAGCCAGTCCCGGCGGTGCCCGTGAGCTGCACCTTCTCACTTTCTTAAAGAAATAAGAGTACAGGTTGCCCTCAGGCAAATGCCCATTGCCTTTAGGAATTAGTCTTCCCCTTTTTCATCTTAGGGCCTTAATTCTTACCTAGTTCCAGTTACAAGATACTGCAGCTTCTGGGCATGCTCGGAAAATGATTTCTTTCAAGGATAGATGCCTTTGGTACAGCCAGGAGAGGTCTCTTTGTTTTTCAATCTTTTCTTCCCTCCCCTCCCCCACGTGTGTGTAAACGTTAGGCCATCTCACTGAGTTTCAGATCTTTCCAGCAGAAAAGCCCGGCTGCAGGCCCATGATTCAGAAGAGGAGCCTTCCCAGGCCCTTCAAGCAGTCTCACCCTGGAGCGGCCTCCAGGCCTTTTCCCGACACTCCCTCCACCCCCGTCTGCACCAGGCCCTTGTGGGGCTCTGTCCCCCACGCACCTGCCAGCTGTGAGGCCTGCACTGACTCAGGGATCCTGCAGGCGCCCAAGCTGCAGAAATTCGCCCGCTGCCCTGGAAATCACAGAGCCTCCGGGGCCTGGGCAGGCTTTTACCTAAACTCACTGCACACCCCAGGCTGCCCAGCTAGCGAAGGAGTCAGGAGCCGACTTGCCCTTCAGGAGCTGCCAGAGCCCCCCTCCCTGGGGCACTGGACCTGGGAGACAGGGAGAGGCGGCTCAGAGCCATCTGGCTCACCCCGTTGCTGCAGAGAGGAAACGAAGGCCCACCACCCGGAACTGGGTGCCAGAAATAGCAGCGGAGCTGGGTCCTCTGCCCCTGGCACTGTTCCCCGACCTGTCAGACATTAGGAGAAACTCACCCCCGGCAGAGTCGGGTGAAAAGCCCGGCCTTCCAGGTGGCTGCATTGCAGAGACCCCTAAGGTCTGCTCGCTGCCCTGACGAGAAGGCCTCCCTCCCTCCCACTCGGTGTTTACAGGCCTGTCTCTGACCTCCCTGCCCTTCCCCTCAGTCACATTCCACACCCTGCACTGCGAACCCGGGAAATATTTTCCAACCCCGTGACCCAAGAGGGACTCCAGAGATTCTGGGTGCCCCTGGGAAAGGGGGTGTGAGTACTGTCAGCCCTCTGCACCCTTCCCAGGTGAAAGGAAACACCCAGAGACCCGGCCCCGCCCGAAGCCTCATCCCCAGCAGATGTTAGCAGCGTTTGCTCCGAGGTTCTGGCAGTGCCCGCCAGTAACAGCGCATCTGCCCTGCACAGGCCCCGGAGGCGTGGAGCGAGCTGGCATCGACCTGAGGAAGGCGGGGTTCTCCCCCAGAGGCGCATTCCTGTCCGTCTTTCCACTGCACACCTGGATCCGGCTTGCAGGCTGCCAGATGTCACCACCCCGCCCGGGAAAGGGGAACCCAGAGCCAGTGGGGAGTGGGAGCCCGCCTGATGCCCTGCTGGTGGGCGGCCCCCTCGCCCAGTCCTGCATGAACTAGCATCTTCGCTCTCCCCTCAGGCAGGGTCTCATCTCTGCGGGGGGGAGTCTATGGGGGTTAGAAAGAGAAAAGAAACAGCACAAACCTCCTGTGTGTGTGTGACCTGCAGTTCTTACTGGCCTCTTGCCAGCATATAGGGTGCTTCCCCGGGTCGGGGCACAAGTTTCCTCCCTACCTTTAAAACAAACAGGTTTTCTTCATTGACCTTTAAAAAACAAACAGGTTTTCTTCCCTCTGTCGTGCAGAGACATTCACGCCCTGGCCACAGTGCTAAAAATAGTCTCCTTCCTTTCCCTCGCTCGGCGAGGCTTCCGCCGCCCCGTTTGATGCCGAGGCAGCCGCTG